GTATGTTTATTACAACTTTTGATCGCTTGTTTGACATTTTAAACTCCAGAAACACGCTGGTGAGGTCATACAAAGTGCCCTTCGGAAGGGGAACGAAGCATGCTGGTAGTCGTTTTTTTCGCCGATGCTCGAGCGTACATAAACAGGTTGAGACATCCGGCAGGACGTGCAATGACAGAAGGACTGAAAAAAAAAAATGGATTCATTAGTTTTTTTTATATGCACGGCAAGCACAGAAAGAATGTTTGACTAACTTGTCGGCCAGGGTCAGCTGGAATACTTGCTGACACACTAACTCAGTCAAGACCATGCCGAAAACTTCTTTGGGTCAATACGTGGACAAGGCGGTCATAACAACAACCCAACAGCTACGCAGTTTACGGCTGCATACAAGCATCTATTGGTTCAGACAGAACTTTTGTCTTGGTATTGAATGCAGCGACTCCTGCAGCCATGATAGATACAATAAACCTTACTGACATGTGCAGGGCATCAGCAGTGCAGCCTGATGACCAGGACTATACGAATCGCATTGACTGGCCCCGAGAGCCTTTCTGCTTTTGTCAGTTCCATGATGCCATATATAGCAGGCTTCATTGTTCGAAAAGTTCAAACTACGACTACCTGTGAAGAGTGCATAGCAGCCGTGCACTCAGATGAGCTGAACCCTTTAATTAAATGTAAGAGTCGAGGTGATCTTGGTTCTCCGTTGCGAGACGTCATTCACCGTCGCAAGACGTCCGGTGTGTTGACACCCATACATCTTGAATAGAGTCCGCGAGGCAGCTGTCGCACAGGACAGTGTATACCATCTTGCAGTCATGGCATGGGGCCCACTTACGACCCAGCTGCACCCGGGTAACATGAGCAGGGCAATGAAATGGCGCAACCATCGTGAGCAATATCGCACAGTTTCGAGCACGTCTCTTGTCAGCCAGTACGTTTCGGCTCTCTCTCTCGGACCAGGAGCTCAATGCTTGAACAAGAGAGAGAAAGGACGACAAGAAGTGTGTTTAGTCTGTCCAATAAATAGACTGAATTGTTTTTGGTTAACCGTGAGGAGAAACGGGAGGGGCAACCCAGGGG